CTCAACTCCTGCAGGCTGTCGTCATACTTGGCTTTCTTGTCCTTTCCTTTCTGAGCAGATGTGGCATTTTTTACACAAGGGTTATAAGGGAGGGTTGACACCGGCACAGCACCACAAACAGCGCATGCAGTCCTCAGACAGCACCAGGCAACCACCCCGGAGGAGCCCCTCCTCAGCTCTGGCCCTGGGCATCAGACTTCAGGTTTAGGACCAGCAAGCCACTGTTACCCAAAGCAGAGTAGGAGACACATTCCCTTTGCCAGTCAGAAGAATGGGCTTCTGGTTCACTAATGAGCTGTGTGACCTTGGCTAAGTGTTTCAACCTCTCTGGGCCTGATTCGCCTCATCTCCAAAATGGAAGAGATACCTGTCCCATAAGCTTGCCATCCAGAGCCAATGAAATAATATTTAAAAAAGAGCTTTATAAACACTAAAGTACTGTATAAATAAAAGGCTTTGTATTTATTTCCTAGTATCTAAGCACATGCTTTCTCCATTACTTGGAGAGAAAAATTTCTCATGTTTGGACACAACAGATGCATCCTGGGAGATTCTGTAGAAAATCAGGGAGAGCTGGTAAGCTTCGCTTGTAGAAATCCTCTGTCCTGAGCTGGAGGAGGCGAGAGCCAGCCTTGACCCGGGAGCCCAGAGCCAAGTATATCAGATTTTGCCCTGATGCTTAAGCTCCAGATCCTTTAATCCTGAGAAGTCCACCATTCTCTCTGAACTGGGCCCCCGAAATGAGGATTAGTCAGAAACTGCAGGCCTGGCAGTTGGGGGACAGAGAATGGCCGACCTGTTTTTCACTTGCTGTCAGGGTTCAGGAGGACTTGGGGAGGGAGGTGCAGGGCAAAAGGACTTCTTACTTTTCCGGTTGGAATTGGGCCCACAAAGCCTGCTTTCCTGGCTGCTTCTCCCAAGGAGTTGCGGAGAAGCCAACGAGTAAGGAAGGAAGAGAGCTAACATTTAGGGACTGCCTAGGTGTCAAGGAAATGACATTGATTGTCTCACACACAGGTATTACCCTGCTCTTTGGATGAAGGAGATGAGCTCAGAGAGGGAAAATCTCCATCCAAATCAAACATCTAATAAGTAGTGGTGTCAGAATTTGAACCTGAATCTTTCAGGTACCACAAATTTTCTACTGTGCCCAGAGGAGCTGGGGGGTAATGGGAGCACGGCGGGAGGGAGTGTCAGCTCCGGGAGAGGGGGCCGCAGAGAGCCAGCATTCTGGGGAATGTCTGCAGGAAGGAGGAAGCCCGCCTGTGAGCTCACCCCCACCCCCAACAAGCCTTCTTGGGGCCTGCTCTCAGAATTCCTGAATCACCCCAGCATCAAAGGCCAGGAGTGAAGAACTGAGTTTACCGGCAATAGACACAACTTTGTCCACAGCTGAAAGGACTCGGGGGGGTCATTATAGACCTATATAGATCGACATAAGTCATTCTACTTCCTAAAGACAACCCCCACCTCCATGTGCACATAATGTGCTTTGGAGATGACTCCCACGCCCTGCCATCTGAGGGGTGGGACCCACCCCCAGAGCAGTCTGATTCACTTGAGAAAACGGTTCTCTTTGCTTCAGAGTCATGCTTCTTTCCCTGTCTGCCCTATTGTCTAGACTCTGGGCTCAGTTGATAGATGAATCCCTGCTATCACATTATAGATTTAGACAGCAATTCCCCAAGAGGGGCCAGAAACATTCTTTGTGATGGCAGCTTGCTAGGATAAGGGAACGGTCTCCCACAGGGACTGCTGTGACAGGAATGGCCACTCTGTTGATTTAAAAAACCCCACCAGTGCTCAAAATTTGAGCCAGGGCTCCTGGGTGGGGCAGGCACATGTGACAGTTTCTGTCTCACCTCCAAGAAAGCAGCGGGGGCTTACTGACCCAGAAGGACAAACTGCCCCATAGCACTGTCTACTGATCTCACAACGGTCCATTCTATGCAGGTACTTAGTTGCATGTGAATCTGCCTCCCTGCCAGACGGTGGCCTCCTGCAAATAGGGCTGGTCTGTGTGACTTACTTATGTAGTCCTTGGTGACAGGGTTAGTCAGAACCATAAATCCTCAGGTCCTGGCATAGACATCATAGGACCACAGGCCTGGGGTCTTTGAGCCCCAAAGGGGTTACTGCCAGGTTAAGAATCAAAGAAACTGAGTCTTCAGGTTTTCAAATAACAGAAATTTTCTTCATTGATGGTCATGTCTATAGACAGTCCCTTGTATCACCTGGGCACTGGGTGTTCCAGCGCCCAGTATACACAGCGTCTCGTGTGGTTCCAGAAAAAATGGCGATGGGTTTTCAGAGCCAGCACAAGGAACATGATTCTGTTGTCCTTTTAGCTGTCAGTTAAATTCACGGCAACTATTCCTTTCAGTCTGGACTAGGAGAGGCAGATGGGGCAGATGTGTTCTTGCTGCTACCTAGAAGCAACTTCCCTCTCTTTTGGAAATGAAATGAAGACTGAAATGCCAGCTATTTCTGGAATGACTGAATTAACAAATAGGGGGACCAGGTCGACGTCTTTACCAACAGCACTTTTCAAGCGACATGATCTCTGATAGGAACTGCATGTGTTGAAGAGACGTACATACACACCTCTTTTACCCTTACTTTGTTATCAGTGTCTGGGAAGGAGTTAACCTACCCATCTTCTTTAATAGTTTTTTGAGTAAAATCCTCTGTGTGTGTGTGTGTGTGTGTGTGTAGTTAAATTCTAGTTGAGATAGTATATAGGGAAAAATTAGAAATCTAACCCAATTAGGCATCCTAAGCCAGAGTCAGCCTGTAAAATGAAAGGGACAGTTTTGTGAGACCAAGTCCTTTCTGAGACCCTGGTGGTGTGGAAAGTAATCCCCTGAGGGGCTCTGCCCTGGTGGATTCAGTGTCATGCAAATCACGATCTGTGCCCCTGGGTGAAGTAACATTTACCTCTGTCAGGAATGATAAATAGCGCTGCCTATCATCTTTACAGTCCTGTGTGGGAGGGAGGGTCAGGTGCTTCTAGCACAGCAGAGATTCCCATTGCACAGGCAGAGAGAAGTTACTTATCATCAAGGTAACTCTGCTGTCAGCGCTTTGGCTCTGCAAGCCAGACACCCCACCAAAAAGAGCCGGTGGAGAGATAACGCCTAAATTGCTTCACCCAGATTTATGTTGATGTCTTAATTCCAAATACCAAGTCATCTACAATGTCCAGTCTATAGATATTAACAGTGGCATTTTCATAATCAAATGCCAAAGTGATTTAGAAAGAAAAAGGATGAGAAAGATTTATGGGGCCTGGAGATACAATAATAAGATTTAGAGAGAAAAATCCAAGGCCCCAGAGACCAGAAAATTGCATTATCCTGGGCACGTGCAGAGATATTTCCAGGGAGGGTTATGATTGGTGTGGCTCTTTGTCTCAACCCGAGGCGGCTGGTCGGTGTCTGGCACAACTGGTCTCATAACCTGCATTGGGTACATCACCCTGACATTTCACTCTGTCTAACCTTGGCTTCTGGTCTTAGCCCCTGGTTCTACTTGATAGAGAAATGAAGCAGCAGCTTCCTGTCCCGCCCCTGCCCCTGTGCCCCGTGCCCACTGGGGCTGGAGCTGACCCAGGTGGTGCCTGATGGTGCTGGGGCAGGTTTCACCCTGTGAACACTTCTCCCTGCCACGATGCCTCTGTGGCAGTGCCCTGCCATTTGATGTCAGCCTGACAGAGAGGCACAGACACGGTTAGCCCTCAAGTGAACAGGCCGGATCACACTGTTGAGAGTTGACAGGAAAAGAAAAAAATGTTTGGAAAAAGCCAAAACCCACAGCAAACTCAGCGGCAAACAGCACAGCACCCAGCCCTGTCCTACCTTCCGGATGGTTGGGAATTTGCCATCGTAACGATAAAACCACCCAAAGGCTGTAACAACACAGAGAACACAGCGGTGAGACACAGTTAGCTCAGCCAGCGTGTCTAGCGAGGGCAGACGCCAGAAGCTGGGTTCTCAAGGAACGCGTGGCTTTGTGAGACGAAGAGCAGCACAGCGGATCCAACAACAAAACTGTACCCTCTGACTCCGCACTTACCTGGCCCCGCCTGGGTAAAGCAGGCCCAAGACCACCTGAGAAAGGCCCTGATTGCCAGGCCCTGCACCCCTGGCTTTAGAAGTCAGTGCCAGAAAAGTCAAAGAGAAAGCCCCTGGTGGGAGGAGGATGAGCTTTTCCAAACTATAGCCACAGCCTGCAAAACACAAAGCCCCGTTGAGAGAGAACAAGGCTTTTCCTGACCGATGTCTGGTCCTCCATCCAAGAAATGGTTCGAGACAAAAGGGGGCCTGGGTCTCTGCCTAGAGTTGCTGTCAGACAGAACAAAACAGTCTTGTCTCACAGTCGAGGCCATATCCTCCATTTTCAATGTGGAAAGAGAAAGCGACGACTGGGGTCAGCTGTGGGAAGGACGGCGCGGGCAGCGGTGGAGAAAAGCAGATCCCCAAACAGGCCAGATCACCAGGGCGCCAGCCCCCTGCCTCCCTCAGGCAACAGCATGACAGGGAAATACCTCAAACCTGAAGCTCCCTGGGCCAACGGGAAGGCTTAAATGATTACCCGCTCTTGACCAGCCTGGGTCCTAGAACAGAATCTTGAGAGCCCCTTGCTGGACCAAGGACTACCCCCTAGTTTCTGGATCTTGAGGAGATCTTCGGGAGTCCTGGGGAGAGGCCAGAGAAAGAACTTGGCCTTAGGCAGTACTTAAAATTTGAGCCCACGGTTTAGTTGTACTGAGGTGCACCAGCTGACATTTCAGCCTGGCCATGAGTCCTGTTCTCAAGGTTTTGTGTGCAGTGCTCGGACCAAGCCAGGGTTGGGAAGAGCTTCGCAGACTCCAGTGGTCCCCACCACGTGCTGGTCCCTGGAGCTGGGTGTCTGCAAGGCTGGCGGGGGCGGGGGTACGGGGAGAGGAAGGCAGGGCAAGCAGAGCAGCAAGGCCAGGGAGCAAAGCGGGGGCCGCAAACCTGCTCTCCCTGCTTCTCCGTGCCTCCGTCCGGGTCGTTGGCAGGCTCAAGCTTGGACTCCACTCCCTGATCATCTACCCGGGAAAACAGGAGGATGCTGGTGAATCAAGAGGGATTCAGGAGACCTAGAGGCCAGAGGTGCTTCCCAGGAGCCTGGGGACTTGCGACCAGTGTCCTGTATGGGAGCTGTGAGGTCAGGGGCAGGAACAGGGCTCAGGATCCCAGTGCAAGGTTTTCGTGCTCTGGGATGGTGCACAGAGTGCTTTCAACTTCAATAGCTTTAGTTTTTCTATCCGTCAAATGGCCTAATAACAGGGGCCGCTGATCTGAGAGCAAAGCGGGAAGCATTTTGCAGGGCATTTGGCTGACACTTGGGAGATGAGGCACAGATGCCGGGGGTATCTGCGTTTATCATACATGTTTGGTGCAGGGCTTACAATGGGAGAACAGATCCTCCCATCTTCTTACCACCTTTGGAGCTCTGGGTCTCTGGGGGATGTTGGAGCTGAGTGGGTGGAGTAGGGGTGCTGAGGAGGTGAGGAAAGTCACACGTGGTCAGAAAGACATGAATTTTGACATAATGTGGAGACCAGCACCTTATGTCCCAGCGGTTTCCAACCCGGACTCCAGTCTCTTGAGGCTGGTGGAAGGTAGTGTGTAAGTCTGCCGTGAGCTGTTTATTAATATTTCAAAATATTAACTAGATGAACTTTCCCAATAACCTATGGAAAGGCTAACGTGAAGAGCTTTTGCTTTTGGTTTGGTTTATGGTTACTCAACAGTGGAACACTGATGCTTCCTTGCTAACAAGAATGGACCCCCTAATCAAACAATGGGGGCACAAATGATTACTTAATAGTTTGGTAGGAAAAAAACTCAATTTTCAAACCGTGGGGCCTATCAGGTGTGGGGACTAATTGATGGGGTGTTTAATGGCTGGAGAAGACTGGAAATCTCTTGTTTAACCCTTTTCATCACTCCAGGCTTTTTCTAGCTCTGGGATCCTTAATAAAAATTCTCCTATCCTCATTGGTTTAGCTAAGGGACTTTTTCTGGGGGTCTCTGTGACAGCATGTCCTGGACTTGAGGGCCTGGCACAATGTTGGGGTTCCACTGGGCCGGCCACGGGTAAGCAGGGTAAGGCCCTGGGACAGGTAGCAGTGAGGGGAACAGTCTGTCCCACCCTCATCATTAGGAGGAGTAGCTTCGTTTTCTGGGCAAGACATGCTCCATAGTCTTTACTGACAGTTCAAAAACGTAGGCTCCACCCCTCATCAGGCACAGACACCTGAGTCAGGTATAACCTGTCGGCCAACTGGGCCCCCAAGATGAGGAGTGGTCAGGGAGGACCACGGCCTGGTCCCACGGGCCCGACACGGCTGAGACCACGCCAGCCTCCCAGGAACGTGGAGGAAGGCAGGACCTGAGCTGGCTTCCTGCATTTCCTGACTTATCTCCGAACGAGAGTTAAATTGCAGGTGCACATGGGGAGGGATGGAGGCAGCAGCTGCCTCAGGCTCCCGTCATCGATCCCCTGCCTCGTGGCGTTCCTTTAGAAAACATTTATATCTTGAACAAAGGGGAAGTTCTCACTCCTTTTATTCAAGAAGCTTGATTTGGTTTAAAAGCACTAAATAAATAGCTAGCTAGAGAAAGGGTTTTTATTTTCTATAGTCCCTGAGAGGGTGTGTTTGCTCTGAAGCCAAGAGGAGTTTCAAGTAAGGTACTAAATTAACTAGGTTTACTTTCATGAGAAGCAATTAAAATCGATTTCTCTCCTCCTGAAGCTCCTATTTCATGCATTAGGAGCAAATTAACTCCCTGTCTAAGACACAGATTATTCACCGGGAATTTAGCTCTGGCCACATCCTTGACTAATAGCGAATGTCACAGGGAAGGCCGATGACAGCATGCTTTGTCCTTCGGAGAGGACCCTGAGATGACACTGTGCCCCGCTGCCAGGAAGGGATGTGCTGGGTGGGAGCTGTTTGCCCTGCCCCAGGGAGGGGTGGATAGGGCCATCCATAGGCGCTGAACCTCTTCACTGACCCAAGCTGACGACCTTTAGTGCTTGGGCGTGGTTCAAAGTTGGAGCCAGAGCTGTCTGGGCTCCATCATAAGACACTAAATGGCTGCCACACAGCAGACACGGGGAACCTTGGTTCTTGGGTATAGATTCACCCCACATATGGAGGTTCCCGGGTGAGCTGAGCACAGTCAGCTGGAGTAGAACTCGTTCCCTATCAAGTAAGATAAAAACAGCTAAATAGAGTAAAGGCCCAACCAGGCGTTTTGGACTTGCGATTGCCATGGCCCCCAAGCTGCCTTGCTCCTGGCTCCGCACCACAAGCCCACTTAAACACTGAGAGTGTGCGCCCCTTAACTTTGCCTTGGTGCTGTGAGCTGCCCCCCTTGAAGAGGCATCCTGGGAGTTGGAGTTGAGAGCAGGTGGAAAGGAGAGCAATTGGTTGAGGCCTGGACCGAGCGTGGAGGTGAAAATGTAGCACAGATGAAGAAAGGAGATAAGAGCAGAGGGAGCTGAGGCCACAGGATGGCCGTGGTATGGTGTCTGGAAGTCCAGATTCCATCCCTGGAGGGCACGGACCTTGCAGGGTTCACACACAGGGATGCAGGTGGTAGGGGCACTTGAGGTAAGCTCCTCCCACAGTTGCCCATCAACCTGGGACACCCCCGCCCCCACCTGAGTCTTCTCTAATATGAGCCCCTTACTCTCTTTCCTATTGCTGTTTCACTGCAGCCCCAATTCAGAAGCGGGCAGGAAGGAGATAACGTACCCAACAAACTAAGATAATCCCATAAGCGGTTCACTTTTGCTACAGCTCTCTGATCCCTCTTCAGCAGCCCAAAGGCATGGAGAGGGTCCACCTGACTGTGACTGTGTTGTGGGGGAGAGGCTAGCAGCAGGCCTCCAGGACAAGGCGGGCAGGCAGATCCCACCCACCCCAATGCCCTGGCAGACAGCCCCTGGCACATGGATGCCCCTCTTCCCCGCCTCGTGAAGGAAATGCAGTCCAGAGAGCCATGGCCATTCAACGGGGAAAATGGTGGTGAGTGAAGGGAGACCAGCCTCTTTGTCTGGATCCCCCAGCCGCCTGGCCCCAAGAAGAAGCCTTTTCCCCACCTACCAGCATATGATACGTACACTTTGGCTTGCGAAGGGACACTGGGTGCCCCTCAGCAGCAATGGTCTTAGACGAGAGCAGCTGTTCCTTTGAGCCCCAGTCTTCTTCCCACTGCTTCTTAAACTTCTCTTCCTCCTCCACGATCCTGAAATAAGACCCCACACCTGTGAGTGGAGCCAGACCCTTCACAGGCCCACCTTCTGCTGATAGGGAAACCCCAACCAGCCTGGGGAGAGACCACGTGGCCCTAGCTATGGGGGCGCCAACAAAGTCTTTGGCACTTGTATTCTAAATTGAGTGTAATTATGTAAGACTATGTTCTAATTACTCTAATAGGATGGGCTTTACTAGGATTATGGAATGGCTTCAAGTAAAGGAAGATCCACTAGGGACAAGCGGGCCAGGTAGATGGGGCCTGAAGGCCGCCCTGGCTGGCTACACTCCCGAGAGCACGCTCACGTCCACACAGGTGCATGGAGCTGAGGCACTCACTGTTCCATCTCCTTCCGGTATCTCTCATTTTCCTCTGCTGCCTTCTGGGCAATCTCCTTTTTCCTTCTGAAACACAAATGCAGGTTGGCATGCTGGAGTCTATGCAAGAGAAGTTAAATCTTCCTTGTAACTAACTCCTGATTTGAGAAAAGTTTTAAGTATTTCTTTCAGGCTCCCTCCCAAGGATGCCTGGACCAGCTTTGGATGCTGAGAAAGTAGGTCCAACAACATCTGGGTCATGGCTCTTGTGTGGTTTTGTTTGGCGCCCCTATGCAGAGATTCTGTGCTGTCAGAACTGGCGTGCAGGTCAATGTGGGCCATGCTCTACGCACCCACCGCCAAACACTTAAAGTAGCTGATGATGGGCAGGGCCTGGCCTGAGGGAAGCCCTCCTGGAAGAGGGCCCCGGACCCCAGGGACAGAGCTGGGCCACTACCAAAGGGCAGGGCTGTGGGCACAGGTACTAGAAGGGGGGATTCTCTAGGCTAATTCTGAGGTGGGAGAAATGAAAATTCCTCTCCACCTTTCTTTTCCAAATTCTTATGGGGCTTCTAGAATGTACCTAGATTTTGACAATAGTATTTGATTTATGAATTTATAACACCATTTAGTTTCTCAATCATCATCTCAGTCACCCCACGTGGGGACAGAAGGCTTATCACCATAGATGGGGCAGCCAGACTACCTGGTGTGGGTGCCAGCTTGGCCACGTGTGACTTTGCCCACAAGTGGTTTCCCCTCTTTGGGTCTCAGTCTTCTCTGTAAAATGGGTTAATACCATCTATCTCACGGGGTTCTTGTGAGAATGAAAGTAAGTAACATACACAAGGCTGTAAGACAATGCCAGCCACATGGTTGGCACTCAGCAGAGGCTAGTAGATGCTAGTAGTAGATGGTAGTAGTAGCCCCATATTCCTGGGTCTTGGAAATCAGGGGGCTCTCATTGGCAAGGAGGGAAGAGCCTGGCACATGGATGCCCCTCTTCCCCGCCCCGTGAAGGAAATGCAGTCCAGAGAGCCATGGCCATTCAACGGGCAAAATGGTGGTGAGTGAAGGGAGACCAGCCTCTTTCAGGATGCTTATGCTAACCACCATTGGACACATCTGGTCTGAGGACAGTCCTCGGGGGAGAGGGTGAGGTTGGCTCAGGAAGCAAGGTGGTCTGGGAGGGTAGGAAAGAGGCGTCCTAACAGGCCACACTCACTGCCTCTCCATCTCCTGCTGCTCCTGGAGGATCTTGTTGGACTCCATTGCCAGTCGCTTCTGCATGAGAAGCTCCTGCCGCTGTAGCTCGCGCTGCCTCACCTCTTCCAGACGCTCCCGCTCTGTCATGAACAGCTCCCGGCCCTCGGGGGGAGAAAAGAGATCCCTCGCTCGGTCTCCTGGGAAACCTGGGCTTCCACTGCCACAGCCTTGGGGGCCAAGGTGAGGTTGTTTTCTCATCACCATGACCCTGGTGACAGGCACTGTGGTTTCTGCTGTGTCTGACCCAAACGTCCCCTGGCTGGGCAGAGACCCTCTTGCTCTGCTTAGTCAGAGCTTCAGGGCAGGAGACCCCTGGATCTTTTAGGGGTGTGTGGTAGAGATCAGGGCTCTGAGTGGCTGGGCCTGGAGGTCAGGGGTCATGGAGCCCCAGAAGCTCATTCTGGACTTACAGCTCCAGCTACGATGGACATGGTCAGGCTGCGGCTACTCTTCAGCACATTCACGGCCTGCGGGGACAGGTAGACAGTCAGCTAAGGTTTGACAGATCAGAGTAATTGAGGATTCTAGAGAGCAAAGAAGGTGTCAGGCACCATGGCAGGGGGAGGGGGTGAGAAGTGGAGGGCAGAGGTGATGGCAGCCAGCAAGTGAACATCGTACATCTCACCTCCTTGTGGTCCAGGTTAGAGAAGTCGATGCCATTGACTTCAACAATCTGGTCCCCAGTCTGTTGGAGAAAGGGAGAGGGATCAGTGTGTTTGCACTATCTGTACACTCACTTATCTGCAGTAAAGGTTTGCCCTGGGGAACAAGGGCAGATGATGGGTCTTCAAGTGGCCATACCTCAGCTCTCCCTGATGAGCAGAGCAGTTACAAAGCTCCAGTGGGGTCCTCCCAGGGCCCCTCTACCTCATATCTCTTTCATCAGCTGCCAAATATTATATCATTAAAGGTTCATTCTTTTGGCTGAATTTATGACATTTGCTTTAAAAACTCAGTATGTAGACACAGGAGCCTTTGGGCTTCTCATATAGCAGATGCTATGTTGAGTCATAATAATAATTGGCAGCTAACATTCATTGATCCCTTACTATATGCCAGTTCTAAGCATGTGTATTAATTTATTTAATCCCCACAACGACTCTAGAAGGAAGGCTATTACCCCATTTTATAGGAGAGAAATCTGATGCACAAAAACAGGAGGTTGTTTGTCCAAAGTAAAGGTTAAAAGTTCTGGCTCTGACATCAGATCATCTAGGTTTGAATCCCAGTCCTACCGTTCTAGGTACGTGATCTTGGAAAAATCACATGCTTTCTCTGGGTCTCACTTTCTTCATCTGTAAAATGGGGATGATGATAGTACCAAATTCTCGTAGTTCTTACCTATTTTAAAGGATAGTGTCTAATCCAGTAAACACTCAATGGATGCCACTTCTTTGATTATTATTACTACATTCCCAAGCGTAGGACTAAAGGCTCTCAGAGCTGGAGCAAATTGTAGAAAGAGTCAAATGCCACCTGCTCTGTGACACTTTCCCTTGAGGGGTGGGTAGGAAGCATCAGCCAGTTACTGCCGAGAGAGGGCTATGTGGGAAGACGTGCCCCCGTCACTGTGTGATCACAGTCTGACCCTGCCCCAGGGTCACTCACCTCCAACCCCACCTCAGCAGACAGGGAGCCAGGCTTCACGTTACTGATGAAGATGCCAGGTTTCTGGGTGGGGCCGCTGGAAATGCTGCGGAAGAGGTGGAAAATGCAGGTGAGCCTCTGCCTTCAGCGCTTGCTCGTTCGCAGTGTTCAGCCCCCTCTGCCTGTGTGTCCAATGCTGTGGGCCCTCAGGATCCAGGTCACCTGTGAACTCAGCACCCAAGGCTCTCCACTGTCTACCTGTGGCAATAGCTACAGAAAACTCCTGTAATCCCCACCCTGCCCAACCCCTCATCCAATATATCACGTGCACTGTTTCTTTTTCTAGCATCTTCCTATTCATTCCTTAAGACTCAAGTGCTATCTTCTCTACCAGGTTTTAACTAAACTCCTATTCTTTCCTAAGACCAAGTAGTTGCTCCCTTCTCTGTGCTCCTAAAACACCTACAGCAAGGGTGGCATTTGTACAACTTTTCTCCCCTCCCAGATCTATGGCAGATGTCACCAACGGGTCACAGCCCCCTCTCCCACCAAGCTGAGACACAGCCTTAGAGTTCTTTTCAAAATAGCATTCCAGGCAGCCACTGCTAATTGATTAGAGACAGCACAGGATTGGGAACTTATTTGCCCCCAGAATGCAGCCCCATCAGCACCGTTGTCACTCTACATTATAATCATTTGTGTGACTGGCTTTGATATTAGGCTGTCATCTCTTAGAAAGCAGACACTTCTTTATTACTTATACTTGGCAGAAAAGGATTGAGTAAACGGGAGTGAATGGAAACAATAAGAATAACTCAAAAAAGAACAGTTAATATTTACCGACTGCTTATTCCTTGCTAGGCACTAAGCTTCGTACTTTACTTCTGTTATCTTTTCCTTCTCACAACGTGGATTTTATTACCCCCAGTTTCTTGAGGGAGAAACTGAGGTTCAGAGTGGTTAGGTCACTAGCCCAAGGTTCTGGAGCTCACAGGTGGCAGAACCGGGACTGATCCATAGATCTATGACTGTAGCACCCGCATGCTTAACAAGAATACGTTGTGTGATCCATGCCTCTTTCCAATTCCCTTGCTGCCTCTTAAGGAAGCCCACAATGTGGCAAGTGACAAGGGAACAGTGACAGAGATGACCGGCAGGACAGACTTCATTTACAGCGACGAAGACCCACCAAAGAAACATGGCTCTTCCTTTGGGCCTCAGTGTTTTTCATCTGTAAAATGGGCCTGTTAGAGCTGTCCTCCTGACCTTACAGGGTTATTGTGAAACTCAAAAGGGAAACTGGGCCCCAAGAAGTGTCATTTTCAGTAGAGAAAAGTTCCCTCAGAAGCAGCAGCGAGAAAGCAGAGAGGCGTTAGGGGACTCCTGGGGTCTGCTGACCATGAGAGAGACCCAGGGCCTGCCGGCCACCCACCTGCAGCCAAGGCCCCGGGAGCCCACCAGGCTGATGAAGACCTTCTTCTCCTTGTTTTCCCGATTCCCTGTAGAGCCCAGGATGCCCCGCCCGCCCTGGAGGAAAGACAGAATAAGGGTCACTGGGTGTCACATGTGTGTGAGTGGTTACTTGAGCTCGTAAGCACTGCTATCCCCACGGGAGCCTGACGGTTATTCTGTCGCTGTGTGGGGTGGGGACAGGGGGGAAGGTGTCTGTACCTGCTGGGCTTGGCTGAGGCCCATCACCCATGGGGCTTTCCCGATGCCCTGGGGCCATGCGAGCCCCTTCCATTCAGACCCCATCACTGCTGGTTCTGGCCCTTACCTCAGATTCCGACACGAACTGATCCACGTACTGCCATTTGAGGGGCTCATCAGGAGAGCTGATGAGACGGGAAAAGAGAAGAGGGGTTATTAGAGAGAGATATTTGAAGGACCAGGCCCCAAGTCCAGATCTGCTCCCTCTGGAGTCTCCAGCCACCGCTGGCCCAGGGGCAGTGCTGGCCTGTGGGGAGCCAGACCCCAGGGCTGATCCCAGGACCCTGAGCCCGTAGGGAAGGCTCTGCCGCAGAGGAGGGTCCTGCTCACCTCTTCACAGGGATCAGGCCGATGTCTGTGGGAGAAAAGATGGGGGTTAGGACGGCTCCTCTGCTCTCCCCGCCCCCTCAGGAGCTGAGTCCCTGCTGCCTCCCCACCCTAACTCTCCATCAGCACCACCCCCGAACCCCGCTCTCTGGCCTCACTCACGTCTCACTTTGATGGACACAGTCTTCTTGGTGCGGATGAGGTTGATGACTTCCTCATGCGTGCATGAGGCGATGGAATACCCGTTGATCCGGACGATCTCGTCCCCTACCTTGGCCACAGACAGAGGGAACGAACACCAGGTTGAGGGAGCGTCAGGTGGCTGGGCAGGCTCTTTGCCAGAGTCCCTGGGTCTGCTCTCCAGGAAAGGGGACGATGGCCCTGCCTTCCCCCGAAGAAACCTGGATATGTGCCCTAGCGCCTTGTCACAACCAACCCACGCTCACCAGCTTGAGGGATCCCACGACAGTGGCACTTCCAAGCAGTCTTGCTGCCGCCCCATTTTACAGATGGAGAGACCAAGATGGTGGGGGAGGGGCGCAGAGGGTGGGTGGCAGAGTTGGGAGTAGAACTCAAGACTGTATCCCCACTCTGGTGTCCCTTTAACCCTATTGGGGCACCAACAGGTTCCAGAATCCATGCAGAGGGAGACCTTTTGCCCAGATTTAAGCATCTCTTCCCTGCAACACCGTGTGGAGTCGGGGTGGGGAGCTTCCATGACTCCCAACCCAAGCTCACATCACTGACACACACACGATCTCTTTTTTCCCACTCAATGGAAACTTCATGGGCATTTTAATCTGCCACAGCCCTGACCTTTTAGCAAAGAACAGTAAATGAACACAAGGTTTTGGCATCAGATGTTCTGGGTTCAAACCCCTGCTCTAATTATTAGCTGTGTGACCTTGGGCAAGTCTGTTGAACTTCCTGAACCTCAGTTTCCCTCATCTCTAAAATGGGGACATACTGTGGTTGCCGTGAAAATTAAGTGAGTGTGTACATGTAAGGGCAGCCACAGCCTGGAGCCCCACAAATAATAAAGACATGGCTGTTACTGCTATTATTAGCTGAACCTGTACTCTAAGTGTTCTGATCTGAACCCTCCTCTCAGGACTTAGCCCTCATGAGACTGGGAGAGATGGGGGGGCCAGCCCTGGATCCAGACCCGTGGTGAGACTGCCCCCCACTGGACACTGCCTTGGGCTGCTCCAAGAACCTCGGCCCTGGGGAGTGGGCCTGAACCTCCTCACCCAATCACTGCAGGGCTGGAAGGAACCTCAGACATCAGCTGAAACTGAGGCCCAGGGAGGTGATGTTTTATCCAAGGTCACCCCGCCATTAGCTATAAAACAGACTGGATCCTGGACGCCCCTCTCTAGCCTGAGGCCAGTGCAGGTCAGCTGGGGACTTAGCCCGCACCACACATGCTGACCCTTTGGAGACCTGCTAGGGATGCAGCTTGACTCTCTGTGGAGTCTGGGGGATGGGTGGGCAGACAGCCCGTGAGGGAGTGTCAGCTCCTACCTTCTAAAGTGCCTCCACAGAGTCACCTTCTTACTGTTGCCACCTGAACACTCACCTTCTGCACCTGGACACAGACCCTAATCTTCTCAGAGGCCTGACAGGAGTGGCAAGGGGCTCAAAAAGGTGCCACAAGGAGGGACTCGCTGAAGAACTCTGCAGGTTTCTGCGACCATCTCCTGTAAGGCGAACTGCTCCTGGCTCCTTGCACCCACCTTATACAACTCTGCGTTTCTGTTCACCAGGTGCGGAAACTGAGGCTCAGATAGGTGAAATCACTGGCTTGAGGTCACCCAGTCAGCAAACAGTGTCGCTGGGATCTGAAGTCAGGTTTCCCTGAGAGACAACAAGCGTTGTCTCTTGGGTGTTCGGAAGCAGAAGAGAAGGGCGCCTGGCCAAGCCGGGCTGCGGTTCCCTGTGTCCTGCCCTCTCTGGATCCTTGCCACCTGCCAGAGCCCTCAAGTCCCAAGGAAAGGCAGGGATTACACTGTCCACTTTATAGCTGGGACAACTGAGGCATGCAGAATCATTCTCATTCCCTAGACCCGGACCATAGAGCAAATCGTGCCTCACAGATTGTCTAGTACAGGAAAAAGCGTATGGGTTCAAACAGGATACATTTGGGAGAAAAAAAAAATCCAACCTAAAATATCTCCAGTAGGGGGCTAAGAGCAGAGAGATGGGGTTCGAGGGCTACGTCCTGTTGGTGGGTCAACCGACCCCACCCCCCGCAATCCGGGAGGCCCAGATCAGCAGGGCCTTCAGTCCAGCCAGGCTGTGCCAGAACATGACCCTTCCCTGCCTTCCAGAATCTTCCTCCAGCCACACTCAGGCATGAGATCTCCCCAGAAACATGAACCCAGACAGGTGAATGGACGCAGATGTTTTTTTTTCCCCAGCTCCTGTGGGTGGAGTTCCCTGTCTTGTTCCTAAAGGAAACGGCTCAGGACCCTAGTCAGAATGATTCCCACACGGCCCCTGGCTCAGGTTGCTGGATCGGCTTTCCTCTCCTTCTCGCTCCCCTGTGGAGCCCTGCAAAAGGCCCTTTGTGCAAGGGCCACAATGAAATGACGATCTGAGGGGCAGCAGCACAAAGGAGAGATGAGCCCGTCAGCCCGAGAAAGGGTTGATAATTCATAACCTGAGGAACAGGCGGGAAGATAAAACTGTTTCATTGAAATGCCCTAATCATGGAGGCATCGTTGAGAAATGCTTGTCCTAGAGGGAGAGCTCACCCCGGAAAACAGGGCCTCCACTGATGCCAGGAGAGCAGCTCATTATGTTTTTCCTCCGACTGCATTTCTGGGCTGGAAAATGTGCCGCACAGGAGAGGAGTAATGAACCGGCTGAAATTTCAGACGCCCCCGGCGAGCCGTGAGACAGGGATTTAGAACAAAGCGATGTCTGTCAGCTCCCAGTTTCCACCTCCCACTCCACGGTATCTTGTACCCTTTGCCTTTGGGCCCCAGAAGCCCCCGGCTTGGCAGCCCAGATTGAGATGTTGATAATGACCACGCTGGAAGCTCTGAGAGGGGGTGGGAGGGCCTCTTTTATCTGGACATAGGAAAACAGCTCAGTGTTCTGGCAGGAGCGAGGCCTGGAGGTCTGCCCATCTCTGCTCAGACACTGAGGTGTGGGGACCCTAGGGGAGGGGCATCTAGGGTGCTGGAGAAAGATCCTTGTGCTTGGCAGTCAAGAGACCTGGGTTCAAATCCTGGCTCAGCCACTTGCTGGCTGTGACCCTAGTCAAGACTCTGAGCCTCTTTCAGCTCTGTAAACTGGGGATGATATAGCCCAGGCATATAACGAGGATTGGTTGTGAGTGAGCATGTTACCTGGCACATTCTAACTGTTTATTCAATCTCCCTCTTTGCTCACCTAACACAGAGCACTATGTGCCAGGCGCTGCTATAAATATTTTATAACATGAATTCATTTACTCCTCATAATAACCTGACAAGATAGATATATCATGATCTGCATTTTATAGATGAGGAAACTGAGGCATGGGGTTAAACGTTTTCACCAAGTCACACAGCTAAAGAATAGCAAAGCCAGGACAGTCTGAATACTACACCAGGATTTCCTCTCACCTGCCAGGAAAAGGCTACATGTCCAAAGCTTCAGGTGTCAGGACATAACTAGGCCTTCCCCAGGTGACTCAAGAAAACAGGCAATAGCCTGCAGCCTGATTTCTATGGGCCTGAGGAAAACCCATCCTCCGGAGGTGTCAGCCTCTCTTTCTCCCAACGTCTTACTGGTGAGGTGACCACTCAGCCCAGCGAGTGAGGGAGGGGGAGGCAGGAAGCCTGAGGACCCTGCTTGCTCACCTGGAGCCCGACGCTGTCTGCCTGACCGCCTTTGATGAGGTGGGAGATGAAGAGCCCACAGCCAAACTCGAGGCCCCCACGCACGCTGAGGCCGAGGCCTTCGGGGTGCAGGCGGTCCAGACGCACCTCCTTCAGCTTCCTGCCACAGGAGAGGTCAGTGATGGCCCAGCTCCGGCCTGACTGCCAGCACTGCCCCACCTGCTAGTGAGTGGCCCTGTCCATCCCAGGGCGACCTCTCCCATCCCCTGCCTCCAGCCTGGTGGCTCCCTCCGCACCTGGAGCGCCGGGGGGTCAGTTGGTCATATTCCACCTGGTGCTTCAGCGGGATCAGAGGTCTGATGGCATCAAACAGCGGCAGGCGGCTGGGCTCATTGATGACCAGCTTCAGGTCTCCCACAAGCACAGCCACATCCATAGTCCTGCAGACACATGGGGACCCCTGGAGCCTCACCGATGACCATGACCTCTGAGACTCAAGGATTTCCAGAGAAAGCAGTGCTGGGCTGGGTTCCCCACCCACTGGGCCCAGGCCTTGGAATTGAGGAACACTCTCCTGAAAAGCCCAGAGCCCCGAACTCTGGGCCAGGTGTGTCAGAAGAGCTGTGTTCTGTCATGTAAGTAGCACAAGGAAACTGGGGAGGTAAGGATTATTAACCCATTTTGCCAGTGAAAACAAGTCAGGATTCACACTTCACTCTGCCTGGTTCTGAAGTCCAGGATCTTTCCAGACAGGAAGCCTCAGGTGAGATGGTGCGGATCCCTGCCCTCCCCTGGTCTGCCACTTCCGGTCTGTAGCTAAAATCTGTAACTTCTGCATTCACAACACTTCTCACATGCCTCCTCCTCACACTGTGCAGGAGCTTGGTGTCTCCGGCCTATGTCTCTCCAGCTGCCTGCCAACTTGCTCACTCTCATCTAATCTTTTCAAAATGTAAGTTACTTGTCTTCTCAAAACCTTCGAGGGTTCCCCACTGCCCAGAGGACACAATCCATTCTCCTGGCAGGCTCGGGGCCTTCATGACCTGTCTCCATGGACCTGCTCCGGCCGGTGGCTGTCTATGGTCTCCTGGAGCCGCAAGCTCTACTCCCCCAGGTTACTGGTCACTTCCCAGTCACACCCGGGCTTGCACGTCTTCATCGCATTTTTGCTAATGTTGATCCTTCATCTTGGAAGGTCCTTCTCTGCTATTTCCACCTATTAAATCCTTCTTAACCTTCAAACCTTAGCTCAAGCTTATTCGTTCTTTTTCCCCATGGTTAGAAATGAAAACTCCTTTTTTTTTTTTTTTTTACGTAGTTTTACTTATATTTAGAGGTTATGCTACTGTAACTTACATTACAGTTTTTGTGTTTGCGGTGTCTATTCACCTCCCCTCCCTAAGCCATGAGTTAGTTGAGGAAGGAAAGTAGATCTTATTCATTACCAGACTCTGCGTGGTGCCCAGCAAGTGGCAGGAGCTTACAAATGTATGCTGAATGAATCGAAAAGCAGACGGGTGATAAGAGACATCTGACGCTGGTTCTGGGGCCAGCTGGCATTTCCTGCCCTATTCCAGCAGTCACACTCTGCGGAACCTCTCTGACTGCCTGACAGCCTCCCCCATCAGATTGTGAGCAACCTGAGGGCAGTGGCCAGTCTGTCACACTCACAGGTGTGCCCTGGCCCCTAGTACAGAGCCGTGTACAAAGTGTGTATATATTCGCTGAGACAAGTGAGTGGCATGTCCTTTTGGTTCCCAGGAGCCTTGAGCGTCTGCCCCGCCCCGCACCCCATCCCCCAGCTCTCCAAGATGGGAGGGGAATGTCCTCCCTCCTGTCTCAGAACAACCCATCCCAGGGCTGCCTGCAGACAGAGCTACCCAGAGAGTCCACAAGAGGTGGACGCAGCGCACTTACTGGTGGTACATCCGCAGCACATCATAGAGATAGTCCTTCTCTGCGTCATTTTCTATCAGAAAATCCACCTAGAAAACCCAAGAGCAGAATTACAGCTCCCGGCCCAGCACCCTGGCCTAACACATCCCACGGAGGGGCAGACCACCGCTCGGGCCCTCCTTAGCGTCCCCTCAGGGCTGGGGTTGTGAGGAGATGAAGAAAGCCACAGGCCAGGCCGGCCCTCTGACGCCAGCACATCACCCCGTGAAGACGGCCCATGCGGGGCCACTGGAGCACCTCTGCGCGTCCCGACGGGGCAGGCTGGGCCCCTTCCAGGTGGGTGCCCATGCACACGCACACATATGACAGCCATACGCCCCATGACAGCAGTGCGGCCGCTCAGTGTCCAGGTGCCAACAACAGTGTCACTCCCTGGTCTTACCTGATGGTGGCTGTAGTGCCGGATAAGTGCTTTCAGAAAGGATTTGGGCCACTCGCTCAGATAGCACATCCCACCCGCCGGAAACACCCCACCACCGAGTTCTTCTGTGTTGCCAGTGCCAGGGGCAACTTCACCCTGTCCCTTCCTGGCCTAAGCTTGGCTAGCCCTGACTTCTGGCCACTCCTTCCCCTCTCCAGGTCCCCGAAAGTGCTCCCTGCCAGGGGGAGAGTCAGGTTACATTATTTCATCTTTGCTGACGTCAATGGCTGGGACTCCAAGGTCAGGGTCAGGAGCTGTTTCATTAGCACCTTGGTCCCACGGGAGCTGGTGGACCAGCAGCCTCGAACTCTGCTCCCTGAGACAGTACAGTGCGAATCAATGTGCACTGGGATCTTGGCTCCTCTTCAGCCCAAGAGGGAAAGGTTAGAGACTTTGGGGGATCACCGAGTCCCTCCCTCCTATGTCCTCCAAGCCCAATCACGTGGTCTGCGGCCTCAGCTCCCCAAGGGGGAAACTGCTGCTGGAAGCTGGAAACTCCCACCTGACTGGTCCTCAGAGAAAAGCCAGAGCAGCTTTGCCTCCTTCTATGGGTAGCTCAGGGATTCTGGGGCAGTCTGCCTGTCCCAGCACACTGGGTCCAGCCCTGGGGACTTCTGGCCTGAGCTGGGGGTGCAGAATGTAGACGTCAGGTCTCTGGCAGTACCTCCTTCTCTCTGAGCATTTCAATGAAGGTGAGAATGACGCAGGAGGTTTGCCCTCCCCTGGGTCACAGCCAGGCTACAGCTGCCACAGAAGTGCACCTGTTCAATGAGAACACCCGTGCTTTCACCTATTTTACTGTCCCTCTCCTCCCGGCCAGGTGCTCCCAGTCAGCTGGAAGACGGGGACAGAACATCTGCTTGAGCGGGTGGCACTAAATCTTAGGGTGGTAGCACGCGCAGGCTCTTGCAAGTACCACATAAGCGAGCACTTCCCAAAAGACAGCCTGGGCTCTCTCTCCGCCTCCGCCTGGGCCTGTACGAGAGGGATGGGAGACCCCATGAGACAGGCCTGGGATGCTCATGTTTGCTCTGGTGGATGAGTCTGAGCAGAGAAAAATTCTGAACCCCCCTAAGGTCAGGAGCCAGAATTATCTTTATAAATTGCATCATATCACTTGTCTGTTTCATAGCCCATCATATTTAAAATAAAATCCAAATCCGAAATCTTTACCTTGACTTACCAAAGCCCAGCTTCATCTCCTGCTACTCTTCCTAACTACAAAGGCCTCTAATTGGTGCATCCTACAGGCTATACTTGCTCCAGCCTCAGGACCTTGGCACATGCTGGCCCCTCTGCCTGGATTGCTTCCCCTTTCCCTGCATGGCTGGCCTCCTCCCTAGGAAGGTCTTCCTGCTTCCCTATCAAAACAGAATCCATTCCAACGCCCAGAGATGTTCCAGGTCCTTCATTACAGCCCTCACAATGTGCAATTCAAGGCTTGCTTTTTTGTGAATTGGTTTGTTTCCTTCAACAAACAGAAAACCCCATGAGGGCAAGGATGAGGCCCATCTGTTGTTGTAAATGCCTTGTGCCTAACACATGGTAAGTGGTCAACAAATAAATGCAGAATAGATGTGTCCATCCTCCTGCCTCCTGGGGGGATGAGAGGAAGGGAAGCACGGGAACAGAAGGGGAAGGGAAGTAATGTTTGCAGAGCCCTCCTGGGATGGCACCAGGAGCTTTTCTTGGCCTGCTTCCATTTGTTTCTCTCCCCAGCTGTATGAAGCCGATATCCTCACATCATTTTGCAGATGAGAAAACTGAAGATCAGGGAGGTTAAATTAACTCACCCAAGGTCCGCCACAGTTAATAAGAGACAGAGCTAGGATTTGAACTTTGCACTATGTGAGTCTGCTATTCCTGATGTAGTACTTTCTGCTGTAGAAAAACTCCAGGGCCTCTTTAGGCCAATATTTCAAGCCCTTTGCCCTCAAGAAGTTCTTCCTTATCTCAAATCCCGATCTCTCTCCTCTGCACTGTCAAGAAAACCCTTTTGGCTTGGTTCATAAGGAGTAGGAAACCTCTGAATGACTGATCCATGGATGCTTTCCTCTTCAATGGGAGCATAAAAATCCCATCTGCTCTGGTTGGAGTGAGGACATTCTGACCAAAGGGCTTCTAGCCCAACTCCAATTGTGGGGGTGCATGAGGAAAGGACAGGAGAGGGAATTCTGTTGGCTGAGGCCTTCGGACCGATACTCTCTCCCACCCTTCCTGGCAGAAGATATGGCCCCCGCTGTCCTCAGAAGGCAGCCTTTATGCACTGGGTGGAAAGCAGGAGTAGGAGCAAAAGCAGGCTCCGCTGTTACAGTCTACAGTTCTGTTTCTCTGCCTTTCTGGCCAAGCACAGATCACCTGGGGATCGTCTTTGTGGAAAAGAGGCTGTTCCTGGGGGTCCCAGGGTCCTGGTCCTTGCAGGCAGCCCTCCAATGCTGACCACTGCATCCAGAACACCCCCCCACCAAACCACATCCTACCAGCCTTATGAGGCAACTGCCAAGTTCAACTCTTTAGCCTGATGTCCCTTCTTTCTCCCCAGTCCGGTCACTCAAATCCTGGTCTTGATTTCTGCCCTTCTCTGCTTCTCCAGGGTCCTCTCCACCACTTCCTAAGTGGGACTCAGGCTGCAGTGGAAGAGACCCTCCCCAAAAACACTGGAACCTCGTTGTCCTCACTCAGAGTGACCCATGTACCTTGATTATTTCAATGCATCCACTCAAAAAGTTATCTATGTACCAAAACAGCTGGGAAAACATATCTGGTTTATGTGGAATGCTCTTTAAACACAAATCTAAGTGATAAATCAAAATGGAGGCTCTGTCATTTCCCATCTGGAAATGCCCCTGCCTTGTTTTCATATCGCCCATAAAAACACACACACACCCCTCAGATAACTGAGCAAGGTGGAACTTTCTCTGGAGGCCTGACATGCAGTAATGTCACCACAATAATGCAAATTTCACTTTTTAAATGATTTAAAAAACTTATGTGGTACCGCCTCCTCCTGGAATGTGAGTTCTAGTAAACTCGCCAGGAGGATCCACCCAGCAGTGGTCCAACGGTCAGCTATGTAGCGCCTGCTCTGGGATGCTTTGCGGCCTTCTCCCAATGCCTTGCGCTCAGGTACGTGTAAAGCACCTGCACGCAGGGCTGTGCACACAGGTGCACAGTGCTCAGTGGTATCTATTGAATGGCAAATGAACTCCAGCTGCTCTAGTCTGGAGGCTTCCTCCCAACCTTCTGGCCATTCCTGTGTGACACCCCCCGCCCCTCCATCACTCCTCAGCACACACCTGCTGCAGCCTCCTGGATCTTTCTCTTCTTATCTAAGTTTCAGCTTGTCACAGGAGAGTAAGTCCCAGACTCACACAAGATTGACTGTCCTCCCTTCTCCCTCCTCCCCCTGAACCCTGCCTTCATTTAAGGGGAGTGCAAGCCCCTTCTTCAGAGGCTTTCCTGACCTTGCACAGTCTGGAGCCGGCTCACCAGCCTCCCAGCCTGAGGCTGTGCTCGACTGGCTCCCACACTCGGGACAGATTCTACTGTTGACTGCCCACTATGTCTCAGGAAGCTTACATGTATTGTCTAAAGTCTCAACAATTCTCTGCGGTGACTGGACAATGTTATCCCCATTTTGCTGATGAGTAAATAGAGGCTCAGAGAAGTGGCAGAGCTCAGACTTCACCCTATGCCTGATAGCTCCAAAACCTCTGCACTTTTTTAAACTACCACATGGTATCCACTTACCAGATATGACATTTTTAAAAAAGACTTTATTTATTTATTTTTAGAGAGAGGGGAAGGGAGGGAGAAAGAGAGGGAGAGAAATATCAATGTGTGGTTGCCTCTCATGCACCCCCTACTGGGGACCTGGCCCACAATCCAGGCATGTGCCCTGACTGGGAATCGAACTGGTGACCCTTTGGTTCACAGGTGGGTGCTTGGTCCACTGAGCCTCACCAGCCAGGACCAGATATGACTTTTTTTAGATGCGTTTGTCTAATACATATTTATTGGGCACCTATGTATAAGATACCCTATCTTCTTTCTCCAACTAGATTTAGAAAGCTTTTCCTTTTCTTAGATTCCCTCTCAATCATGGACACAGAAATCCTAAAGAAGTCCACCATCTACAAATAACTGTTGAGGGGGTCTCCTTAGCACATCAGTCCGCCCATCCCCACTGACTTTGTATCTGGTCCCCTCCAACTAAATCAGTCTTCTCTGGCTGATGCTCAGCTGGTTCTGTGCTATAGGCCTTTATGGCAGGGAAGAGAGGGCATTCAGGCTTCTTGTCTGGGGCACAAGAGGCAAATTCTGGGTTTGACCTTGGCCCTCTGCAGACTCATCTCCCAGCATTCCCCTGCATGGCCTGGCCCTTCAGGACAGCCACATGGAGGAAGCATACACCCTTTAGCTCATGCAAATTCAACTCCACTTGTACACCCAGCCAAAGAGGGAGAAAGAGAGCAAGAACAAATTAAATAATGCATATTGTTCCACTTGACCTTGGGCCGTGGTGGGGATTAAATGAGTGAATGCGTGTAAAGTACTTAGGGCAGTGCCCAGAGCACCAAAATGCATGCTGACTCTCTTTCTTTATGCCTCCAGACCCACTCTCCAGCCTTCGCCACCTGCCCTGTGTCTCAGGAAGCTTTGCCTGAGCTCCCTGCCCTTGGCTTCCTGATGTGTTTGGCAGTGGGTGGTAGCAGGGTGAAAAGAAAGGGAATGGGTTCTGATTCCCGGCTGCCACCATGCTTGATCACCTTAAGGCGGGTTCCCCTACGTGAGGCTGCAGCTCCTGTCTGGGCCATGGCTGTCCCCCATTCTGGGGACCCTCCTTGCCCTCGCCTTCAGCAGCACCTGGCTTCTGTCTGCGGATCCTCCCAGGCTATGCTAACAAGACTTGTTGGTTCACATGCTCCTGCCCTTCCTTCTGTGTAGTCCTTTCATAAAACTCTCTTCAGTTTCCTGTTTGGACGAGCCAGCAGCTTCTACCTGACCCTGGCTGGTCTGAAACTTTAGCTATTGTTGGTTGTAGTGCCAACAGCCTTTCCTCTCTGTGACCTCTTCCTCCACCTATAAGACTCCTCAGCTCAAACATCAGCTCTCCTTGATCAAGCGTTTCTCCTCGATGTAGCTCTGCTACATAGCCTGTCCTTGTCATTTTGTGTGCACATGATGGCACTTTGTTCCCACTCCTGCCATGGGACTTGCCAAGCTGTGTTGTACTTTCTCTCTTACCCACCTGTCTGCCTACTACTGTACGTGTGGCCCGGGGAACAGGCCTGGGGGGAGTGGGGAGAGCGGGGCCAGCAAGCTCCTTCCCCATCTGGGTCTGCATCTGTAAAGTGGGGATAACAGTATCCGTTTCATAGGAGTAACAATTTTTAAATTATTTATGACTCATAAGTTGTAAATGTTTAGAATAGTTCCTGACAAATAGTTCCAAGTATTTGTTAAATAAAACTAAGGAAGAATATACGATACATATTCTATATTCTCAGCAGCTGGCGGACAGCGGGCCCTCCCTCAATGTTGGTGGGATGAAAGGATCCAGGCACATTTTCCCAGGCCTTCCCAGCTTGCATCCCAGATAGTACTAGGTTTACTTGTCTCTTATTGTATTATCCTTCATCTTTTCAAAAGGTTCGTATCTTGCCAACTAGTTGGTAGTATCTGACCCAGCACCTGGCACAGCTGGCCATGCTTCCTGCTCCTGGTTCTCCTATCTTATTTGTTGTTCCTTCTCCTCTAAAGTTTGGGGTGTCCCAAGCTCTGTCCTAAGTCTTCTCTCCATCTGTACTGTCTCCCTAAGGGACCTCATTAGTCTCAGGGCTTGAACTACCCTATATACCCTAAAGACTCACTGAGACTTATGCCCAGCACAGATCTCTCCCCCAGTCCTCATGCTCCTACAGCCAGCTACCGGCCTTCTTACCCACCTCTCTATCTGAAGGACTGACAGGTATCTCAAACTTAAAACATCCAGAATGGAACGCTTAGTTTCCACCACCTTCCACTCTGCCCCCACCAACTTGCTCCTTCTCTCAAAAGGCAGACTCACCCTTGATGCCTCTCTCGCCATACCCACGGCCAACCCCCCATCAAAGCCCATCAGGTCTAGCTTTAACATGCATCCTGGGTCTGACCACCCCTCACCCTAGTCCAAGCCCCTGCCTCCAGCCTGGGCTGCTCTAGGAGCCTCCTAACTGGATTCAGCTCTCTCAGTCTGCTCTCTACCAGCAGTCAGAGCAATTCCTCTTAAATGTAAGTCAGTCACACGACAAATCCCAAAGTCCTGGCTGAGGCCTACCACCACCCCTCTGGTCCATCTCCCACCACTCTCTGAATTTCTCTCAAAATTCTGTAATTCCTTTCAGAAACACCATGGTACTTGCCCTTCTGAAAGAAGGTAAACATCTGTTGCCTCACTGCCTTCGCACTTGCTGTTCCCTCTCCTGGAATGCTCTTCCACATACATCCCCAAGGCTCTTTCTCTTACTTCCTCTAGGTCTCTGCTTAAATGTCACCTCTTCAGAGAGGTTTTCCTCACTACCCTATACAGAGAAAATCACTTTATTACTTTCTATCCCCTTATCCCAGTTTATTATTTTTCATAGCATTTATCACTACTTGGCATTACATGACACTTTTATTGGTTTGCTTGTTAAGTGACTGTCTTCCCTACTAGAGTGTGCTCTCTAAGAGGGCATGGACTTTGTTTTGTTATTCAGTGGTTAAAATACTGTCTGGCCTATGTTGTGAGCTCAGTCAATATTTATTGCACGCAAAAATGAATGAGTGAGATGGAAATCCCTAGAACTCAGGGGCTTTTTCTGACCCTTTTATGCATCCCACCCCACCTCCAGATGCTTGGCCTGGGGCAGAGTACACTACAGATACCCACGGGCAATAAATACTTTTTGAGCAAATGAGTAACCAAGTTCCTGTACCATGCAGGTGAGTGAGCAGAGAGGCAGCCTTCTTTCCAGAAGCTGGTTCTCTGGGGGAGAAGCCTTAGTCTTTTCTGCCCTTCTTCCTCGCCCAAGGCGGTGACCAGGAAGGCCATGCAAGTGCTGCGACTGGCCTTGGGAGCCTACACAAGCCCAGGGGAGCAGACTCCTGTTGCTCTGAAAGGCACTGGTGGGAACAGAGTGGCCATTTTCCAAACAGTTACTATGTGCCCAGAGTAGCCAGCACTTCAGTTCCTATTTCACATTCTGTCCTTTAAGGTAAGCCCTTCAAACCTCATCTCACAACTGAGGAAACTAACACTTGGAGCGATTACACGGCTTGCTCAAGGTCTCACTGGCAGTGAGTTGACAGGGCTGAGATTTGACCTTCAGTCCTGCGTAACTGCAGATAATAGACAACAGCAGTGGACATTTGTTGAGGACTTGCCAGGGTCGATGTATGCTTCTACATGCGTAGATCTCCTCCAGCGCTCACAGTAACTCTACTAGTTCAATATTATTGTTACCCACATTTAAAGAACTGAGGCACAGAGAGGTCAATAGTTGGCTCAAGGAAACACAGCACTTTCCATGACAACACATTACCTTTAATGCACTATGGATTTAGATTACAAATCACTCCCAAGGGGTCCATTTGCTGTGAAGCACTAAGGAGGGGACACCCAGGAAGCAATCAGCAGCTAGTAGTGGATTGCACGCACGATGCCTGTGTGCCTGCTCCCATGTCTATGCCTGGCTGCTTCGTCCTTTCTCCCCAGTTCCTAGACGATCTCCAGCCTGGGAGGGGAAGGCTGCTGCTTCCTCCCAAGCTGCCTGGAACAAAGTCCAGCCCAGGCCTTGCCCAGCATGGCGCCTGCCCCGCCTGCACACACAGGGGCATTAATAGGTAATGACTTGTGATGAGGAAGAGCAGGGCAGTGGAAACACGGAGGCCTGGGGCCCTTTGGAGCCTGCGGGGCCTGACAAGGAGAAACAGGGGCTGATCCAGGGGTTGAGGCAGACACTGGGCCTCCAGAAGTAATTCCCTCAAAAGAAGCAAAGGCCAGTACCCCACCGGGAGAAGGCAAAAGAGGACCCTACTTTGCTTTTTGCCCAGGGGCAGGAAAGTGAAATTCAACCCTGAGCCTTGGGGTGGGGGGTGGGGCGGGGAGGGGGGTGCAATTCTTCAAAGTGGGTTGTCTGAAATCTACACTCACCAAATGTTTTCACTGCTGAAATTTCGCCCCTCACGTCCCTTTGCAAGAGGGTACACCAGTGAACACTGTTTCATGCCCCCTTGGCTATTCACCGGTCCCCAGCTATCTCTCATCCGTGGGTGCCCAAGGCCTCATTTTTAGGAGACTCCTGCCAGTATGAGTGGCCCCCTTTGTGCCCCAAGCAAACCTTGACTGCAACACTCAGAGCCAGCCGTGGGTAGATACTAGCGTAGGGTCTGCCTCCCCTGACACGACTAACAGTTTGAGGGCAGAGACTGGGTCTGGCACAGAATGGCTACTCCGAACATGTTTATTAAATGAATGATTGACCCCAGCTCCTGGCCGTTAGCCCCTGTGGCCCCTGCACTGGCTCCTTGGGTCCTCCTGGGCCTCTCTGTGGGGAGAGCGCTCTGCCCTGCTCAGGCCTGGGAAGGGGGTTGGCTTGGTTTAAAGACACTGCCCCTGTGGGGTCCGGGAGGGCTACAGGGCACACAGCTGCCAGTCTCTCGGTTGCCAGGGCCTGTGGGTTGCTTCAGGCACCCCTGGCTTTACCCCTGGGTCTGAGGCACCCTAAGCCCTGGTAGGGAGGTCCCCTGCGTCTCCTGAATGGTCCTTTCTGGTCTGAGGGCCTCAGTGGCTCTTGCACAGCTCTGGAAACTGTTCTGGAAATTTCCTGGGTGAAATCCAGTAGCTTTCAGGGATCACCTGGGTTCCTGAGGCCCCTCAGTGGGACGAACGAGGGGAGATGTGGCTCTGCCAGAAGGGTCTGCTGATTCTCTGGACCTCCTCCCTTCTTCCCACTGCCCCCTGGCATACATCAGTTCCTCAACGGATTCTCTTCTATTCTTGGGAATCTACAAAATGCCCTTAAGCAGGGAAGGGAGGGGGGACTCCTTGAAGTGTTTTGAGGTCAAAAGAGAGAGAGAGACACACAGGCACGTTCCCCCATCTCTCAGACACTGCCCCAACCCTCTCCACCAGCTCCAAGGGAGCTGAGGGCAATCGGAGGAGCTGGGGGATCTTCCCACAATGGGACGCTGAGAAGCGCCCTGTCTCAGGTCAAGGCTGAAAGAAATTCCAACGCCGAAGAAGTCCCAGCCCCTGGAGGGCAGTAGGAGAAAGGGCCCCTTCAGGTCAGTTTAGCAGTTTCTACAGCTGGAGTCTCAGTGCACCTTCCTCATTGTACTGGTGATTCCTACGGGCAACCAAATAACCATGCGGGTCCCAGCCTCCCCAGAGCCCTCAGGTCCGACTGGAAAAGGGAGCCCGGAGCAGCTCTGACCTTGTGCCGAAATTCTCGGGCCACCTTCCGGTCCATGGCTGGGCCAGATCGCGCCGCGCTGCTGCACTACTAGCTCCTTAGGGTGCCTGGCAGCCGGCGAGCACGACCAGCAGGGCCTGGGAGGGGTGGGGGCGGGGCCTGGCCGGGGGGGGGGGCGGGGAGGCGGGCTGGGGGCGGGCCCACAGGGAGGCCCGAGACACTGGTCCAGAACTTCTTACTGGCTCTTCACTGAAGCGCCCCTGGAGCAAAGGGCCGGGCAGTGTGTGTTTGTGGTGGTGCAGGAGAGTGGCTGACATTATTCCGGTCCTCTCGGGCTGACCCTCCAAACACTCACGGGTTAAAGAGAGGCTCTCCAGAGGCTGGGGAGGAGGCTGGGGACTTTGTTTTTTTTGTGGGGGCCGGAATGCAGAGGTCCTGAGACTTTCATATAGGTGTGTACAGGGTGGGTAATCTAGTCAGTATTCTCTGGATGTGCAAATAGAGGCCCATGCGCCCTCATGGGGCAGTCGGTCACCCCTTGCCGCATCTCACCTTCCCCTTATATTTGTAATGGCCTCCTTCGTCGGCTTTCCCCACTAGGAGGAAATCTTTGTGAATTCATTGGGGCCGGATCTTACTGTGGCCCACAAAGGCTGGAACCAATAGATGGGAGGACGCCTCCTCAACCAACTTCCTCTCAGACCTCCCCAAGCCCACTCCCTCCAACACACCTACACACACATACACATTCACTGAAGAATGGAAGAGCCTAGCAATGACAGACAGATTTATGGCTGACCTTCACCCAGGTCTGAGAATCCCTCTCGTTCACTTGATTGAATTCAACCAAAGTTTGCTCAACTCTAAGCCTAGTGCTGGGTGCAGAGAGGATAATGAACCAAGCCTGGTGCAGAGTGAGAGGAAAGAGGCAGCCAGGAAAGGGATAATAAAGCAGGTGTGAGTGGAGACCTTCAATTATGGAGCTTGTGCCAAGACTCAACAGAGGGCGGGAGCCTGACCTGCTTGTGCCGTATTCGGGAAAGGGAACAGGAAATGGGCAGCAGCCCCGATCAGTGAACCACTTAGCGCTGTAACTTACAGGAGGGACACCTAAAGACCCCTCCTTTACGTTCCACCTCCAATAGCTGAAGTTTTGCCATCAGACTTTTTTATTTGGGCTGCATTATTGCCTAGTTTAAGATGTAAGTCCCTCCTGGAGAAGAACCTTAAAATTTCATCCATGTTCTCACCTGAGTATTAACTAGTTACCCAAAGATAAAAGGGAAAGAATTGTGGGATTTTCAAAGGTCCAGGAAAGACACACAAAATATATTTCTCTCCAATTTACTTGGTTGATTCTCTACAATTCATTGCTATGTCATATAGCCATATTTAGAATCCAGGCAGAGCGACAAATGCCCTTGCAAGAGGGAATGTTGTTCACTGGTACAGCGCCCCCACCCTTCTTTTACATGACTGCCTCTCCCGAAAATGCCTTCTTAAAATGCTTCCCTCTTCGTTTTGGTGATAGCTCCAAGCCTGGTTCTTTTCTCCCATATATGTTCCTTTTCAAGCTTCCTCTCAGACTACCTGCCTTGGTCCATTCCCTAACCAGGCTCCATCCTTGGCTCTCTCCTTTTCACCTTCCCAGGTGTGCCTGTAGCTTCAAATCCCCTCTCTGGGGGATTACAGCTGTGTGCTTTATTTACCACCCTATTCCCAATGTGTGGCAAGGAATAGATGTTCAACAACGTAGTTGAATGAATGAATGAATACACCGCTAATCTATACCCCTGTTCAGGGGTCTGCTGGGGCCATCATCATCATCATCATCATCATCATCTCCAAGGCCTGGTATCTAGCTGGTGTTCCAACACTTTGTTGGACAAGTGAATGATGTGCAGGTTCCCAAGGCTCTCAGGCCCACATTTCCATTGTCAATTTCCTCCTGGACAGGGAGGGTGACTTGTCTACAAAATTAAAATTAAACTTTTGTTTTTTTGTGTTTTCTTTTGGGGGGGAGGAGAGGAGCATGTCAAAGTCTGGTCTTGATGGGAGAAATAATATAGGAGTGTGAGACACTTCTGTCATTACACCAACATTTCCTGAGCTGTTCAAAACAGGGGGTAGGGTGGGGATTTGGGTACTCAGGAGGCTGTAGTGGGGATGGTGGGAGCCCTGGTTCTGCTTCTGGCCACTGGTCACTGCGTGTGGCATGTCCCGTGACTTCTGTGAAAAGAGAGCAGAGGACAAGACTCATACCAGCATCTTGGGTCTGTGGTGTAATGGGCTTCCAGGACCTACGTTTCTGATTCAGGGATCTCAGAGGAGTATGGATGTTGGAGGCTGCACAGGCTGCCTCCTTGCTCCGGTGGGGAGACTTAGGGCTGAGCGATCAGAATCCAGCCAGCCTCCCTTGGGAAGGGGCAGCCAGAACAAGGGGGGCAAAGGATGGACCTTGGTCGGGAGCCTAAATTATGGTGATAAGCTGGGGGCAGTCTTGTCACTCTAGCTTGGGGAGGAGCCAAGCGTCTGGGAGGAGGGGCCAAGGGAACACTTGTGCAAAGAGAGAAAGAGAGACGGCGGCAGCCGCGGAGTGGAGGTGTGACCTAGCCTTCGCCGAAGAGGCACTCGGGACCCCGGGCCTGTGCTCAGGCTTCCCAGTCCCCGTGCACCCCTATGTGGGCCCCGGCCCCGCACGTCCCGGCGCCCGCGCTCTGCCTGCTACTCGCTTGCGTCCGGCTGTCCTTCGGTGAACCGGCAGGGGAGTCCCTACAGGAGCAGACACTAGGTGAGAGAGGGGTGTGAACTGGGAAAGGCCTGGGCTCGGGGAGCGTTTACGGAAGGGCCCTAGGAAGGATGGAGAGAGGGAAGAAAAAGAGAAGGTTTAAGGGAGGACAGGTGATCAGCCAGGGAGAGCGTCTGAAGAGAGGGGGTACAGAAGGAAAGCAAGGCCAGCGACAGCCAGGGGAATGGGTCCAAGCTGGGCAGGGTGGGGAACTACAGAGAACAGGGCACAGAGAGTGGGAGGAAAGAGGGAGACCATTACTGACGAATCTCCAAGGAGTGGGGGAGAGAGGATTGGAGAAGGTGCCAGGGGAGATGTGGGAAAGGTCTCCTCGCAGGTGGACAACGGGTGGTGGGAGGCCCAACGCCGAGAGGCATAATCTGAGTGGAGAGGAATCCCCTGTTCTCAGCAGTGGCTCCCACGCCCCCCAGCAATGCAGAGCGGAAGCCTGCACCAGCCCAGGATCCCATGTGAGTAGGTGTGAGCTTGTGGCTGCCCCACCCCTTCCTTGTTCCCATCTGTTTTCCTGGAGAGGGACCGCGGATATAGCGTGGAGGGGGAGCTGGCCCTGGGGGTGGGGGTGGGAGGCATGGCCCGTTCTTATCCCCTTGCCCACGTCAGCCTTGTTTCTTACCTAGCCACGGCCATCAGGAGGGGACCTTTGCCATAGGGGACGCGACGGCATTCATGGGAGGCCAGGTAAGGGGAAGCCTGGAGAAGGGGGCTTCACTGGACAGGGGCTCATTTCTGTCGGGGTTGAGACTGGTAGGGCGGTCGTAGGTTTCAGGAAGGCTGTCTCTGCAATTATTCAGGAAGGAGCAAACAAAGCTTCTGGTATGTGTCTGCAGTAGGTAAAGTGATAAATCACTTCTATTCCTACTCTCCTAATCTTTTACGGCTCAGTAGCAGGCTCTATCTATCTATCTATCTATCTATCTATCTATCTACCTACCTACCTACCTGTCTGTCTGTTTTTTAATGGGGGGAGGGCACCAAGGTGCTGTCAGGAGACAGCTGAGCTCTCCTGTCCAGTGGCAAAAAGGAGGAAGGCAAGGGGTTAGGAGAGTTGAGTTCTCTTTTCCCTGCCTGGCCTGCGAGGGCCTGAAACCCTTTCAGAGGCCCCTGTCCATACCCCGAGCAGTGTCCCAGCAATGCTGCCCTGAGAGGGAAGAAAAACTGGGCCACCTGGTGGGGTTTGCACAGAAGTGCTGGCTGAGAAGCAGAGCCCTGAGCTACCATTCTCTGAGTCCCCATCACTCTCTGTTGCCAGCCGTCCTGGGAGCCTCCATGCTTTTGGGAAAGGTGACGGTTTGTTTTCTCCCTTTCCCAAACTTCTGTGGGCTCTAGATCAGGTGACCAAAGTTCTCTTTCTAATCCTGGCCTTGCACTTGTCTCCTCCCGAATACCGCAGACCTTTTACAAACCCAGCCCACCCGCAGCCAGGTCCCCCAAGCTTCTTGAGCGTCATGTCACGTACCTTAGGGATCAGGTCTGGGAAGCTCCTTGTGCCAGCATATTGGGAGCATCATTTATAATAGGAAACAACATGTCTCAAATTCCTGCCTTTTGGGAATATATATGAAGATTCCAAGGTAGAAGGGGGCGTGCTTATTCTCCAACAGGAGGGTTATCTGGGTTTTTATTTCTTGTTGGCACACTTTTCCAGATCCCAACTTTTAGAATCATGGTCGGGTATAATTTGAGTTGAAAGTGAATGTCTGTGTTCATTGATAGCTGTAGAAATCAAGGTAGGTCGATGGGTTGCCAGGGCCCCCAGAGAGCAGGCGGAGCTGGGTTGCCTGGTGTACTGGCCTGTTCCCTGGCACCACGGGCGCCCTGCAGGACTCCAGGGATCCCTGTATTTCAGGGAGGGAAATGATCCATACCCACGTCCCTTTGCCCCTGGTGGGCTTCCTTCCTTGCTGGATTCCAAGGTAGGCCTCCTCCTTTCCCTGGGAGGCATCTGGACCAGGCAACCCCAGGAAGATTCTCACATTACTCTTTAGAGCAAATAAGGGGTTAGAATGGCCTTCTTTTAAGGCGATGTGAGTGGGCATTGGGGAATGAGGCCATCAGCTAAAAAGCGAACGTGGGGACCCTTTGGGGGTTTCTGCATGGAATGGCCTCATTTGTAACAGAGGGGGAGTCCCAGACCCGCACCCAACCACCCTTCATTTCAATGCTGCTTCATTCCTGTAGAGCTCGGCCCTTCTCAAAAACTTGGTGGTGTAGACCAGGGGTCCATGAACTTGGGTGGAGGAAAAATACA